AGGGGGAGAGGGATCGGAGCAGTCAGGGGACAGGGAGCAGAGGGGTTTAGATGGGTCAGGAGTTCGGGGGGGGCTGTCGGGGGGGAGAGGGGTTGGATAGGGCATGGGAGTCCCAGGGGTCTGTCTGGGGGTGGGGGTATGGATAAGGATTTGGGCTGTCAGGGTACAGGTAGGGTCCTAGGGGGCCAATTAGGATGGGGGGAGGGTCTCAGGAGGGGACAGTCAGAGGACAAGAGGCAGGGAAGCTTAGGTAGGGGGTGGAGTCCTGGGGGGCACTTAGGGGCAGGGGTCCCAGGAGGGGGCAGTCAGGGGACAAGGAGCAGGGGGAGGGTTGGGGGTTCTGAGGGGAGAAGTGGGAGGGGCAGGGGTGGGGCTAGGGCAGGACAGGGGCGGGGCTCCTCCCATCCTCTCTTTTGCTTGCTGAAATATGGTAACCTAGGTGCCATTGACTGGCATGGCTTCCTGGCTTGGGGAATGTTCAAAGAAAACTGGGGCCTCCTGCCTAAAACCAGCTCTGTGGCACATGACAAAAGGTTATTGATGAAAATACTTCATGTCAGCCGTGCTGTAGCTGCTAATGATGAGGCCTGCAGGGCTGGATTAAGGCAATCTAGGGTCCTGGCAGTAGGGTTATCCCCTGGATGGTATTTGACTGTTAGAAAAACATCCAATCTTGATTTAAAATCTCCAGAGCTGGAGAATCCACCCCAGCCCTTGGGCCTTTGTTCCAATGGTTAATTCCCTTTGCTGTTAGAAATTTGCACCTTATTTCCAGCCTGAATTTGTCTAGCTTCAATTTCCAGCCACTGGTTCTTGTTAGACCTTTGTCTGCTAGATGGAAAAGCCTCTTATCAGATTGCTGCTCCCCGTGTAGGTGCCTATATAGAGAGCCCCATATTTTTTGCAAATGTGAAATAATACGAAATAAAGCAAAAAACTCACCCTGCAGTGGCAGCTCCTGTCCTGTGAAGCTCAGCCTGGCTCCCCACTGTGAACACAGGGGCGCCCCGCCAAACCTGAGCAGCACTGAGTCAAGAGCCAGGCCCAGCCACACCACACAGGACCCCAGGAGCCGCTTCTGCGGGGTGAGTGCAGGGCAGGCTCAGGGGTGCCACACTCACCTCCCCCAGAGCCTCCCAACCCCTGGTGGCAGGACTCAGCCCCGCTCCAGGGACTCCAACCCCCAGGGCAAGACCCAATCCCCTGCATGGATAACATTAACAAAACAAAAACAACAAGGAATTCCCCAAAATAAAATAAACAATTACTAAAAGAATTCAAGGGGCTCCACTTACAGACTGTGATCAAGTCACCCCTTAACCTTTGCTTTATAGATCGAGCTCCTGAAGTCTCACTGTAAGGCACATTTTCCAAGCCTTTAATCATTTGCCTGGGTCTTCTCTGACCCCGCTCCAACCTACCAACATCCTTCTGGGATTGTGGACACCGGAACTGAACACAGGATTCCAGTAGCAGTCGCACCAGTGCCAAATACAGAGATACCATAACTTCTCTCCTCCTGCTCGAGATTCCTGATTCCCCCAGGAACCAGCCTTGCTCGGCTTCATACCGACGTTGCTCTCACCTGTCTGACAGATCTCCAAAGATGATACCTCCCACCAGGGTCCCAGCCATGTAGATGGACTGAGCCATCTGCTTCAGCTGGCAGGAGTCACACACCAGGTCCCACTGTAAGGGAGAGAGAAAATGAAGCTGGGCTTCTGGTTAAGGCCCCAAACTGGGACTCAGAAGATCTGGGTTTGATTCCTGGCTTAGGCTGATATTTTCAGAACCATTAATGGCATTTAGACAGCCACTTCCTACAGCAATCAGTTGGGCTCTGTACAGTGCCCAGTGCAATGAGGCCCTGATTGGAGCTGGGGTCCATGCAGTATCCGGCACAAGGGTTCCCCAGTCTGAGCTGGGCTCTGTGCAGTGCCAGAATGGGTCCTTTCGATGTTAATGTAGGATCAAATATAATGATCCCATGTGAGGCGGATGGTTTTGAATGGAGTGAGCGTTCAAGAGACTGGGACCCCTACTCCTAGCTCTGACACTGACCTTGGGCGAGTGATGCTGCCTCACTGTGCCTCAGTTTCCCCCAGTTGTGAGATGGGATAATAAGATTTAGTCACTATTGTAAAGCCCTTTGAGATCTAGGGGAGAGCAGGGCTAGCTCTTAGCATCATTCACAGTTCCTTTAATGTAGTGTGACAGAGTTCCTCCTCTATCTTGGTGGGTCCTGCACTTATTGGCAGATTTTCTTGCCTCAGAGATTCACCATGTGGGTTGGGGAACAGCCCAGAAACCTTCCCATCTAGAAGAGTGCACAGTCCAGGTCAATTGGGAGGTTTGGGGGGAACCCAGGCCCACCCTCTACTCCAGGTTCCAGCTCAGGGCCCTGGGGACTGCAGCTGTCTATAGTACCTCCTGTAACAGCTTCATGACAGCTACAACTCCCTGGGATACTTCCCCATGGCCTCCTCCAAACACCTTACTTAGTCTCACCACAGGACCTTCCTCCTGGTGTCCGATAACACTTGTGTTCCTTAGTCCTCCAACAGCACACCCTCTCACACTCAGCTCCTTGCACCTCTTGCTCCCAGCTCCTTTTTAAAGCCCAGGTGCCCTGATTAGCCGGCCTTAATTGATTCTAGAAACTTCTTAATTGGCTCCAGGTGTCCTAATTAGCCTGCCTGCCTTAACTGGTTCTAGCAGGTTCCTGATTACTCTATTGCAGCCCCTGCTCTGGTCACTCAGAAAACAGAAAACTACTCATCCAGTGACCAGTATATTTGCCCTCTACCAGACTCCTGTACCCCACTGGTCTGGGTCTGTCACAGCGGATTAGTGGATTATGTCCAGTTTAATTGAGAGGAAACTGACTGCACAATAGACGGGGGAATTCCCACCCCAACCAGTGCAACCACAGCTTCCTCCTACTCATACACTGAAGGAATCAAGCCTCTGTGAAGCGTAAAGGCCGTGTCCTGCTTTCCTCTACACCTGTGCAATGGCAGCCACATGAAGCCGCATGGATTGAAGTCGCCTGGGGGGCCAGAATGTAACTGAGAACAGCACGTGGCCCTGGATGAAATTCTGCACTGACTTAGGCTGAAACCAAGCCGATGTCAATAGACATGCAGGGGCTGTAGCTTGGTGCAAATGTTAAGATCAGATCTAGGAAGAGGAGGATTGATAGATAGATACTCTGATCCTCTCTGCCCAGAGGACAGTGAAACTTACTTTCAAAAATCTATGAAAAGGCATGATTCTAACAAAAATATTTTCAACTCATCCACCCCATGGTTTCAGTATCCTTTTCCCAGCCGGTTACCTGCACTACAGCAGGTCTTGCTCTCACGTACCTCTGTAACGATGGTGCTGGTGAAAATGCTCTTGTCGTACACCCACCCATCAGCGCAGGGTTCAGTCTCCAGCTCGGTTAGGTTTGTGACTGTGGCGTTGGAGTCTAGGAGCTGCCACTGCGTGGTGACAAAGCGGTGACACTTCTCTGGCTGCTGGTTGCTGTCCATGGGGATGGAGACCCTGAGGAGGTCTTTGGCAGCGAGCTTTCCGGTGAGGTTGGTGTAAGGAGTGTTGTTGATGTTGATATGGACATGGCAGTGGTGCTCAGAGGTGGCAGCAGTGAAGTTCTGCATGAGGTTATGGCTGGCCAGCATGAAAACTGGGATAGCCAGTAAGATCGCATAGATGATTTGGAAGCGACCCATCCCCCCAACGTGGTCTAAGAGTTCGGCAAAACTCATGGTGCCGGATTGGAAGATTCAGCACTAAGTGTCTGGGTTAAGCAAAAACAATGGGGCCCAAATAACGGTCGTTACCTGAATAGGTCGATTACTTGTAAAAATTAAACGTTGTGCGATGAAAATATCTACACAGAAAGACGTTAATTTGAATCCAGCTTGTATTCCACTTCACAACTTCAAAGACAGTCATAAAGCGCAGCACTTCTTACAAAAAGTCAGCTTTTGGCAAATAGTGTCCATGGATTCTTGAGGGTGTAGTTTCCAAAGAAGAAGCATTGAGTTATATTCTCCCTAAATAACCGAGTGTGCTACCCCGTTGCTTCTCCTTTGTTGCAAAAATTCCCATGCAACCATTCCTAGTTTCCTGTCAGCTGCGGGAAAACTCCACACATCTTTTCTATGAACGGTAGACGCATAAAGGAATGGTTTTACCAAGCTTAATTCCACGTTGATCCTTGCATTTCACCTGCTGGAAAAGCAGGTGGGGTTTATATATCCCTCGGAGGGTTATATAAGGCCTTAAGCAGGTCACTTTGGTTAAAATTTTACTTTGTTTTGCATGGATTAAGTCAAAAAAAGAGAGAGTCTGAAAGCAATGTGCTAGATACGGCGCTAAATGCTTCCAGTGCAGAGGTGACAAACACACTGATCCAATCTGCCAAACCAGATTGTCTTTGGGTGAGTATATTATTCACACCACAGGGCTAGAAATTAACTATAACTAAAAAGGATCCAGATTTAGCTGAGATACCACAAACCCGCCTCTGTCCTGAGTCGGGTGATCAGACAGCAAATGTGAAAAATCGGGACGGGGGGTGGCGGGGGGGTCATAGCAGCCTGTAAAAAAAAATACCAAAAAATTGGGACCGTCCCTATAAAATGGGGACATCTGGTCACCCCAGTCCTGAGTCGTCACTATTCTTAAAATACCACCTGGATATACCCAGCTGAGATTGGGGCCCCGTTGTGCCAGGGATTGTACAACCCCATAGTGCGAGCCATCCCTGTCCCAAAGCGTTTACAGTCTAAATAGACAACAAAGACCAAAGGGAGTGTTGTAATTAGCGTTGGTCTGAAAAAAATTTAGCAAAAGGTTTTTCAGGAAATGTTCTGAAGGAAAGTGTTTGTTTTTGACAAATGTCTTGACTCTAAAACATTTTAAGAAAAAAGATTTGAAGATGAAAAATTGGAGATGACAAATTTCAGTTTTTCAGTGTAAAATTACTTTTTGTTTAGAAATTTGAGCTAAGTATAGTAAAAAAATGTTTGGAAAATACAAAATGGTTGAAAGATAAACAACATGTTTCAACTGACCAAACAAAAGTGGCGCATACGCTTGTGCTGGGCCCACTACACAGAGTGAATTTTGTTCTGTCCTGGTTCTCCCAGGAGCAGACACCAGGTGTCCGGTGCTATCAGAGGCACCTTTATAAGATTGGCTGGAGAGTAACTAGTCTGCCGGGATCATTCAGACCTGAAGAGCCTACTTACACAGTGAGACAGAATTGACCGAGATGCCAGAAATGGCCAGGCCGGTGAGGAAGCGGAAGACGCAGAATGTGGTGAAGTTGGGGGAGAAAGCAGCACAGATGCCTGTTACCGCCATTTGCAGGTTGCACCAGATCAGGAGGGCTTTCCGGCCAAACCTGCAGCACAGAGAACAGAGTTAATAGGGGAGTGGGGAGATCGGGAAGTTGGTCCAGGGCAGGGAAGTTGGAGGCTGATATGATTGCACCATATGGCACCCATTTCTCCTACTTTGGTGATCTCGGTTCCCTGTAAGCACTGTTTGCAATGGAGAGTGCTTGAACCAAAATTCAGGGTTAGGAATTAATTTGAATGCATGACGTTATCCCAGTACACTTCTGCCGATGCCCCTCAAGTGCGAACTGCAGCCCTCCTGCTGTTCCAGCCCTGTAGAGCGACTGCAACATTTGCTGGAGTGTCCTGGACTCACACACCAAATCCCACTGCATGGGGGGAAGAAAACAGAGACCAGTGAGAGCAGGAAGATTTCAGGGCACACATTGCCTGAGCTGGAACTTTTTGGAAGTGCCTATGGGTGGCGGGGAGAGGAGTTTGGACATGCTGTAGCCTGATCTGTAGAGAGGATACTTTGATCCCCGGGTCTCCATATTTGGCTACAGACAGACACAGAGATGGGAAGAGGTGGCTTTAACCCACACTTGTGCTCCCCCTTTCTGGACCCTACTTAACCCCTGAGGTATGTGTAGAGTGGCCTCGGAGCTGCTCCGACTTTCACTCTTCCTCCTGATGCCCCAGGGAAGCAGAGCTCAGTGCAATCAGGCCACACGCCCTATGCTGAGGAGCTGGGAGTGGAGCATTTTTACTGGCCTTCCCACAGGGCTGGCTTATCAAGGGGCTATTCACACCCCCCACACTGAAAATCTGAGCGCCAAAAATCAGGCTCTGAAGTGGACACCCATGAGTAAAATTGGTGTACAGAGAACCCATAGGGTCAAGTGTATTTATGGGGGGATGGGGAGAGCTATACTGGTCAGTCAGCAAACCTGTTACCGTACGAACAGTGGGTGTGGTCCCCTTTCCCTGTACTTTGTAGAGTTGCCACCCATCCAGCTTTTCCCAGGATCATCCCTTTTTTGAGGTAGCTGCCCTGGGAAATCTGTCAGGGTACTCAGTGCACCCTGACGGTTTTATGGGCTCAGGATCATCTTAGATGTCCCATTTTTTTGTACCTCAGAGGTGTGACGGGTTGAATCACAGAACCCCCCTTGGGAGCTGCCAACTGATGTGCCAAGACTACTTCTGCCCCTGCTTTCCCTGCCAGCTCGGGACCCCAGCACCCTGTCTTGCTGAGCCAGTCACGCCCATCTGCTCCAACACAGACCCAGAGTCTGAATTACTTGCCCCACAGCTCCAGGCTTAACTGAAAGCAGCTCACAGAAGTGTTCTCGTCTTTAACACTCAGATCCCCAACTCCCAATGGGGTCTAAACCCAAATAAATCTATTTTACCCTGTATAAAGCTTATGCAGGGTAAACTCATAAATTGTTCGCCCTCTATAACACTGATAGAGAGAAGCACAGCTCTTTGCCCGCCCCCCCCCCCGTATTAATACACACTCTGAGTTAATTAATAAGGGTACGTCTATACCCAGCCGCTAGTTCGGCGGCTGGCAATCGAACTTCTGGGTTCGACTTATCGCGTCTTGTCTGGACGCGATAAGTCGAACCCGGAAGTGCTCGCCGTCGACTGCGGTACTCCAG